CCATATTACAGTGAATATTTTAATATTTATCGTATTCTGTGCATTACTTCGTTACGTCTTACTGCCGTTTTGATAAAATTAATGATTGAAAAAATATTTGACATATTTTAGCAGTCCGCAATGGATTCACCAGGACGATTCTCATCCGTCAGAGGTTTGAATTTACTTGGAATTTCTTAACTTTTGCATTAACAATTGTAGGAAAATTCGTTCTTCCTCAGAAGAACCAAGAAGGGACAGCATGGGAAACAAACACACTTTCCTGTTGCATTTCACATAGTAGCGCCTTTATTAAATACTTTCAAGATCATGCCAATTTATAATCATTTCATGGCTACTGTCTATTACAGTCCAGAGTTAGCCTTTTTTGCTGAATAGTTGCATTGATGGGTTTTTCTAAAGTGCAGCAAAGACATTGGAACATGTTGGATGCGTACGTCATTATATGCAATGTTTTTGCTGAATATAAACAAAAGACTGGAAATTTCAATGAACTGAAACAATCGCTGGTTAAAACGTAATAGTTACGAAGTTTAGTAAGATGAGGTTGTTGATAGTTTTTGAACTTGAAAGTGTCTTGATGGTAAACAGTGTCATAACCGTTTCAGCGTGATCTTTTAGGGTGTTGGCACCGATCAGCAGCACTGCACGGCTATTGTCACTCTACTACTTTAATACTAACGAGTTAATTCTATTAATGCCAGATTTATAAGGACTTACCTCATCGATATTTGCCTCTATTTGAATCTGTATGTGCGAGTGTGCGTGTAGTAGGTGTGTGCAACATTACATGAATAAATTTCTTCCCTATCTTACTTCATGTCATGTGGTGATCAAAAATCTCCGCCCCCTCAATGTTGTTTACCCCATTTTCGCCACTTATTCCTGGGACTGAAATCATGAGCTACACCTTTGCACTGTCTTTTGATCTCTTCATTTAATACCCCAAGTTTTGCTATTGCGGAGTTCTCCTGTCTCCATACGCAAGCTTCACGTTTAATCATTTATCATTTGTTTTTTGGAACTATCCTTATTAGTACAGCATATTAAAAGACAACCTGGGCCCATTTCGGCTTTTAATGATGGCTCGCAAACCAGGGTACTTGCTGGACAGAACAAATGACCCATTAGTCATTTTACTATGTTAATTATATAGGTTTAATTAAGACTTTAATCTAACTAATGAAAAAAACCTTTCTCCACCGCCGCGGCACTATATCCTTTTTATCCTTTTTTATCCTTTTTATCCTATTATCCTTTTTTTACAAAAAAGTGTATGTCCGATACCCTTGCTTTTGTTGTATATTTTTCATGCGCTGAACAGACGTTATTTTACTGCTCTGAACTGTGTCCTTTGCAGAACTTCATGTACGTGTCTCCTGCATGTTGCTTTCCATTTTTCCGACGTAAGCGTTTCCTTTAATGTTTCGTTATCATCACAACATTTAATAGCCATCATTTCCCTTAATTTTCACAACCTTTTTGGAATGCTAAACAATCCGAAAACTTTAGTTTAAATGCTAAACAAAACCTGAAAAGTGATTTGCAATAATTAATCATTATCAAAGCATTAAGTAATGCCTAGTCATTGGAGTAGTTCGAACTATTGGATTTGAAAATGACCAAAGTGAATGATTACCTGTTCAGTATGAATAATCATTATGAAAGAACGGAAATTAAATTGGCTGTCTTATTTTTCTTTTTATTGCCGGACTGAATTAAATTGGAGAAATGATTAGAACTACTATGATCTTCCTGTTATAATAATGAAAGTAATAATGTCGATGAGATGATGATAATTATAATAATAATCATAATAATTAATACTAATAGTAAATTAGTAATAATAATAATAGTAATAGTAGTAATAGTAATAATAATAATAATAATGATAGTAGTAGTAGTAGTAGTAGTAATAATAATAATAATAATAATAATAATAATAATAAT